TGCTCTGGTCACCAGATCTTGTTTTACACCCGCAAAGCTGCTGCTGCTGCCTGGCAGTGCCAAGGAAGACCTGCGGGCATCTAGGTAAGCATCTGGGTCACCATCAGCTGTATCTCCAACTTTTGCCATGATGCTTGCCAATACCTGAGCCCCCCTTGTCATGGTTTTCCGTCGTGCTCTTGTCACTTTCTCTTGGTTCTCTGCATCCCTGGAGGGGTCTTTGGCGCCTGGCACATCCCTGAAAGAGCCTTCTGTAACCGGAGCATCTCGAATGGAAGCACTGGGAGAAATCATAGAAGATCTGCGTGCACCGCCTTTCGAATCAGCCTGAGCCGAGCTAGACATCCCGCCTATCGCCATGATGCCTGCCAGTACAGCGGCACCCTTTGTCATGGTCTTGCGGCGTGATCGGTTCACTTCCTCCTGCGCTTTCTCATCTCTGAAAGAACTGCTGCTCGGAACAGTCATGGAAGCTCTGCGGCCAGCACTTCGAGGGGAATTTCCTGGGGAGATCGAAAGCCTTTGTTGGCTTTGCTGTGAACTCCCGCTACTCAAGTCCAAAGGTTTGGGTCCATTTGTGGCCTGGGCGTGGTCAAAATTCAATCTCTCCACAATGTGGCTAAGCTCACGCCGAACCTCCACCTCGCTATCTTCAGACTCAGAGGACAGCAGCTCAGCATGGCGAGCTAGAAGCACTTCGTGAGCAACCGCTTTGAGCTGATCGAGGACCATCGAAGCTTTCCATTCCAATGATTCGGCCGCATCTGCATGAGCAACTTCTGCCAGTAGTTCTCGCTCCTTCTCCACATTTATCTTCTTGAGCTCCTCCACTTTTTCCATGCATTCCCTAGCAAGTACCAAGTTGACGTTGTCATCCAAGCCTTGCATTACTACCTGGGAAGGTGATTCAGATCTATCGATCGATCAATGGATCTATCTATCTATCTATCTATCTACCTATCCTACCCTACCCTACCCTACCCTATCCTATCGTATCCTATCCTATCTTATCTTATCTTGTCTTTACCTACCTACCTACCTACCTACCTACCTACCTAAACCTACCTACCTACCTACCTACCTACCTATCTATCCTCTCTATCTATATATATATATATCTCTCTCTCTCCTCTCTCTCTATCCTCTCTCTCTCTCTCTGTCGATTTTGGTTTCGATCAGTGCCTAAGCCTACGCCGCCTTGGGAAGCGCAAATGCTGGCTCTTTAAGCCTACACTTCCTTTTATACCTGGGAGGTGTCTGGAAAGTCCAAGTCATCCCGCGATGATTGGTAGAACAAAAGCGTCTCAGCTTTAAACGCAGCTCCCTGGCGGCCCCTGCTGCACCAATTTCCACAGAAGCACCAAAAGCATAAAACAGCATCGGGAACACCACGTACCATACTAAATGACGCCTTAACAAAACTTGACCAGAACGTTGGACCAGGTGCATTGGCATCTTCTATCTCAGCGTGCAAACAGTCGTGGGTGTGTTCTTCACTGCGGATGGCCTTCAAGAGCTGGGCCTTTTTTTGCTCCTGTTCAGCAGTCTGCTGCTCCAGATGCTCCTTCTCCTTGATGAATGACATTGTTGAAAAAAATGTCCCACAACAAAACTTAGCCCGCCATCCCACATATCTCCCCAAAAAAATAATCTTATATAGAGAAAAGGGAGAGAAAAAAAAAAACGAACAGTCCGTCTTTTTTGTGGCCGGTCGAAAATCAATACCCACACGTCAGCCATAAACCTCGTGACGCAGGCATTTGTAGACAAAAAAGACACACAAAAGAAAGGAATAAGAACTGTTAAGCCAATGCCTGTGGTCGTTCTGAAGTCTCTTCAGGTTCTCCGCATGTTCTCTTTCCTGCTCAACATCATAGACCTGGCGAATAGCAGTAAAGTGGGCGACGCGCTTCTCCTCTGCGCTTGGCACATCTGGCAGGGGCTCAATATCTCGGAGCTGCGGTCGGGCACGTTTGAGGACCTCAAAAATCTTTTGCTTGCTATCCTCGACATCTGGGACTGCATGGTCCACTGCAGTCTTCAAGTCTTCGAATCGATGCAAAAAGCCTTCCAACTTCTTCTGTGCTTTGGTGAGCTGACCTATGTCTTGCTGAAAGCTCTTCTCAACAGACTCATTGAAGAGGGAGTAATTGGCGTGGCATGCGGAACGCCATTCCTCTGACCCCTCTCGCTCATTCCTCTTGGTGACAGACGTGCGACGTGACAAGCGCCGCGTCTCTTTTTGAGCATTGTAGCGCTCAAGCTTCTTTTTCAGAACCTCGATTTCCGTTTTCACTTTGGCAACCTTCATGGCATATTCAGTCTTGCCTGGGCAGCCAGCAAGTGTTCACAGCAAAAAGCATCATCGGGTGCCAAAGGGATATGGTTGGAGTCGGAGTTTGTTGAGTGGCAACATATATATATATAGTGTATTGTATATATATATATGGGTGTGTGTGTGTTTGTTTTTCTTTAGTTATTTATATAGTGTGTGTGCGTGTGCATCTTTGTGTGGTGGTGAAACCGGACCTGACCAGTCTGGCGTACCGGCAGTGATGACTTGATATCACCTCCTGGGCCCCGTTCGTATTCACAAGCTTTCGTCCGTTGCACCGGTTTGCTGTAGAGGCGGCTACTGAGCTTTCCACGCATTGGCTTGTGACACTTTGGAACGGGAGTTGGACTTGCTCAGTAGTGATCCTTTTGGCGCTTCTGAGCACGGTTGCACAGCGCTGCATTTACCTGGACTCTTGGTATTTCTTTTCCGAGATTGCGTCAAGGCATGTGAAGTTAGATTGTCGGTGGTTTATCTTGAGTGTGTGTGTGTGCATGCTTTCCACCAGAAAACACTACTGCTGAGTCAAATTTGGTGCATTCTCATGCCCAGGAGCTGAGCGTATCGTTTTCTTCCGGCTCCCACTCAGCTGCTGCGTCCAGCCCCCATCTGCGAACCTCTTTGAGCACCTGACTAGTCACGTTGTCTCGGGTTGGGTCTTCATCAAAAAGGATGGCACGTTGCATCTTACGCATTGCATGTTCATAGGCCGCCTGTCTCTTTGATTCCATTTCGAGCGTTTCCGTGTGTTTCTGCATGTCCCTGTACAAAGAATGGAACGCCTCTAGAACATCGGACGGTTGATGCTCTTGAGTCACATTCCCAGAGCGAAGGTCCACTTGATAACGGCTTTGGCCTCTGCCCTTTGCTTGCCCTTGCGGCTTGTCACCACCTGTCTGTTGCTTGATGGAGTTAAAGTAGCATCGAAGCACTTGGTAGGTGCATTTCTCTTTCTCTTCAAGGTCCTCACGGAACTTGCTAATGCATTCGTCGATTTCTTGCCAATCTCGATATAGATCTCTTTCTAGCTGGTCCATCTCTGAGTTTAATGTCCCACTACCAGCTGCATTGCGGGCGCACGACTCCTGTAAGACTTCAAGAGCGTCCAAACGTTCGTCACACCTGATGGAGTTCAGCAATGCTTGGATGTTCTCCTCAGCATTCTGAAGCGTCCAATGCTTTAACAGTTCGTCATCATCCTCCTGTGTCTCATCGGAGTCTGAGAAATCGTGAGGATCCATATCGTCAGGCTTCTCTAAAGTCAAAGATGCAGAGGATGCGGAGGCTGCGGGGGATGTCAAGCTTACCCGGCTTGCCCCCAATTTCTGGGGCACCTCCAAGGACTCGAGCGTCTCAACTACCTTGGGGGCTTCGTAGAGCGTCTCCGCAGCCTCCAGGATTCGAGCCACAGCGGAGTCCAAACCTTCTTTGAGCTGGATCATCCGCGAGCCACCAGGCACCTGGCTGTTCCTCTGCAAGCCGGTTCTCAAAAAGGCCATGGCAAAGAAAATGGGCCTCGAAATTTGAAGCACACAAGTCACCAAAAAGCACAGAAGCTTGAGCAATAGAACAACCGCCTCATGCAAGTGATTTCAGTGAATCAGAATGACTTGCCAAATGCCTTTCAATTCTATCACACTGTCTTCATCTGCCTCCCAAACCAGAATCGGATACCAAGACTTGGCCTTTGCCTCAACACGAACGCTCTTGGCACCACGACTGTGCGGACTCGAAGCGGTCCATCTGTTGGATTAAGTCCTGGCGGCGAAGCGCTCTCGGAAGGCATGGGAAGACCTGGCCCGAAGGCAACACCGGTGGCGGCCGTGCCATCAGAACGACTGATGTTAGAACAATAAGCTACTAGGAACAAGTGCATCGCATCTAGTAACAAGTGCCTTACTAGTAGTAACAAGAAGCTACTAGTTAGAATTAGAATTTAATTAAGTTTAATTCTCCTCAAACATGTTGCTTATTTTTTCCACTTTTGGCTGCCAAATGCCAGTAAATCACGGGTTGACTGCTCCCACAGAGTCGGAGTCATGCGGCTAATTGGTGCAGGCTGCTTCTTCAGCCGTGAAACAGCTTGAACATTGGCTCACCGTCCACAGCAGGCTTGGATGTGATCACACACCATTAGCAGTGCAGGAGAGGCATTTCTTATCCTCAACAGCACCATCTTAGTCTTAGTCTCTTTTTTCGGCTGGTCCAGCGTCACCGAGCCTGAAGACCACAGGAGGGCACCCCACAGACCCTGCGAACCTTTGCACTTCGCCTGTGCGGATCGAAGGCCCTGCACAGCTGCCCACAGTTCCTGGCACAGCTGGAACAGCCCTCAGATCCTTTCAAATCCAGGGCTGGATCGTCGGGAACTGAAGATTCGGGTGTCAGGGACTCCATAGATTCATCTACATACTCTCTATATAGCCTTTTTGTGCTCAACCCCTCCGGTGAGGGTACAGCCTCCACTCTGACTGTGACCTAAGTCTTGTCAGTGAGATTGCCCAACACCCAGCCTGTGCAGCACCTCGAAAGCGGTTTCCTTCACATGGTCCTTGACGGCTTGCTCGCCCTCACCACGCAGGATGCAGGGATCCACCAGGAGAATGTCTCCACTTCCAGGGTCTGCCCCCTGTAATGGCCAAAGACTCAGGAAAGGATTCGATACTTCGCACATTTTGCACATACGCTCCGCATATCATCTCTACATCGATCTACAATGATCCACACAGTCTACAAATGTAGGTGCCCCCCTGCCAAACAAAACAATCATTTAGGTGGCTGTGGGAAGGCCCAAAGTGCCTAAAATCTGCCCGCCTTCAGATCAAAAAGCATTGCATTTCCGCTCGTTGAATATGCCACGTGATGGAAGAAAGCCTGAGACAGCTCATGAAACTCCTCCGTGCCATCAAGCATGAACTTCGTCACTTCCGTGGCCGGATAGTCAAACACCAGAATGTGGCTGTCTCGATTGGTTAGTTGTGGTATCTTACCTGAGCCAGCCAGATCCGCAAACTCATAACGTGATGCGTCCTTTATTATTGGGACGCTTTACATGTTTTACAAATTCCTTTAAGGAATGCAACTCACCAATACGAAGGAAAAGGCTTGCTTGCAAAGCTTCTGTCAAGCACACGGCAGCCAACCGGAGCACAAATCTTCACGCAGGGCGTATCAAAGCCACCATGATCGTGGGCAGTTTCACTCAGGAACTTGTTGAAGTTAGCTGCATACCTGAAAGAATTTTCAAGTAGTGCAAATTGTTACACACCATAACCACAAAAAGAAGTCCCAAGCGATGCTCAAGACTGAAAAAATGCCAAGGCCTTGGAACAAAAGTGTTCAAAATCATCGGAGCTACTGGACTGCCTCCTTGCAGTCCTGCAGTGCTGCCAAAACTCGATGCAACTTCTGGTCACTCACCGAAGCACAAATTTGAAGCAAAACATACCGGCCAGTGCCCTCGATCTTCGCTCTCATAAATACATGTGGCATGCTTGCTCGGTCAGTATTTGGCCAAGGAAAAGCAATCTTCTGGCCAGATTCTGCACGGCGTGCAAGATTGAAGCGAGCCATAAAAGGGCCGTAGGCTGCAAGACCCTCCACCCCCTCCAGTATAATTTCATCTGTAAGGCGGAAAGGATTTGGGTACACTGCTGGCCCTTCTCGGATGGGAGCCGCATCCACTCGCAACAACAACTGTGGGCCATACTGCGCCGCTAAGGCAGCAGAAAGCTCCCCTTCCTCCTTTAAAGCCACATCTAAGACATTGCGACACACGGACACTGCCGTCCCCATCGTCTGTGGGGCGGGTGCACAGCCTGCGCGCCACTGTCAGCCACACGGCTGCGGTGCACGAGGATACATGAGCGTAGGTGAACAAGATTGCAAGGGGTTGGGTGAGGGGAAAAAACATGACCATAGACATAGAGAAAAAAAGATGATAACAGTGAATGCTGCCAACATCTTCAGTCTGAATACCAGAGGGAGAGAGGGGGAAAGCGAGAATGAAGAGAGCGAGAGAGGACAAATAAGAAAGGGAGAGATCTCTAGGTTGCATTTATGAACGCCATGCATCTCCATGAGTGAGCTCTTGCAGTGGGTCTAGGCTACGAACAAATTCGAGCCGTTTCAAAGCGCTTTATGCTTTGCAGTGTTTGATGTGTCAGGTAAATCCCGTCCTCCTGCAAGGTATCCAACAAAACGGCATCGTTCACCTTCTCACGAGGTAGGTGCACGTCACGCTGATCGTAAGGCGCATTGAGACAGGTCTGTCAGTCCACATCTTTTCAAAGGAGACAGGTCTGTCAGCGGTTTACTTCTAGCAGAGCTGGCTTCAAAGGCGCTCAAGGCCTCCAGGTTGGCCAAAGACCAAGCCAAACGCGAAGTTTCACGCCACGACAGAAGTCTGGACTGCAGGCACTGGAGCAGCTTTTTCCTGAGCAATTGCAAGTAATACACCAACAACGTGGTGCGGATCACGCGAACCCAAAAAAAACGGAAGAGCTCGTGAGGAAGAACCATCCTTGCGCCATCCTCACAGCAACCCGAGTCCAAAACATATTCGTAAGTATTGGAGCTGGCGAAGGAATTGAAGGCGCACGGCCAACAGTCGTCACGGTATGCGGCACAAAACCCGTTGGCCAAGTGGCCGCGTTCTGTGGATAATGTTCTCCTCCGACCATCCGAGTGAAGCAGCACACCACACCTCAGCCCAGCTGCTATCTACAGCTACTTGGGAGACGTGTCTAAAGGTTTGTGAGACGGGGCCTATTGCCACCCATCCATTCCATCTTGGTGTGCTCGTATCTTGGAAACCCCTCACTTTGAATGATGGCCGTGGCCAATGGCCAGCCCACTTTATGTCCGACCTTAGCTTACTTTTTGGTGGGGTTGAGAGCCTCTCCCCCTGAGGTGAGCCACTTGGCCGCTCTGCTCCATTACAAGTTGATCAATGCAATGAACGGTTCAGGCCACGCCACCAATAGCACCAATTCGTCTGGAGAGACCTCTTTTAGTTGCTCCGGTTGCAGCCAAGCACGCACCTCTGCCCGCTCGTCTTCGGACCAACTTAGCCTGCCGGAGAATAAGTGTTCCATAGTTTTCCACTATCAAGAGAAATCGAGTGTCTTCCACTTGCCTTCGGGCCAAAGTTTGAAGCCCATCTTTGGACACCGGTCCTTTGCCTGAGCTGGGCAGGAGCCAAAGGCACTGGTGCCTAACTTACACATGAAGGACTGCAAAAGCCACCCGTGGAGGAGCAGCCTCCAACACAGAATCCCCTCAAAAGTCGAGCTGCTGGGGCTCAGCAGCAGGGATCTTTGCCACTGCTCCTTGGAGGATCAAAACCCACTGATGCCACATCCATGTCAATGTCATTCGCAGCCATGCCAGCAGTGGTCAAAACCATGTGTTTGCCAAGCCGCTGCATGGTCACAAGCCAGTCCAATCACTCCACGGGTCACAGTATCTGGCAGGAAACCTCAGAAGTGGATGTGAGTGTCCAAACCAACAAACAACGGTGGCACTAGTAAGTCCACACCTCAATTGAAAGCCCAGGAAGTTCTGAGAATGCCAATTTCACCCCAAAGTCCAAAAATGTGAAATGAAATGTGCGGCCTCCACAATGCCGAGCCCAGGGAAACCAGATTGGACACCAGGGTCCCTTTGGACTACCGTGAGTGAGAGAGAGAGAGAGAGAGTTCCAAGTCTGGAGTGACTTTACATCTCGATCTACACATGCCGTCGCGACCACGCCAAGTGACCATGGCTGACGAAGTCGTCCGTCAGCTGTGTGACATGTTGCCAATGTTTCGCCTTCTCGCAGGCACTCATGGTGGCGTTGAAGCTGATCGTTGTCCTCACTAGAGTCTGGGTTTTTAGTTGGGTCTGTCTGTCCAAATGCTCTAGACACTAGAAATCCTTGTTGGACCCGCTGACCACCTTGGAAGCACCTGACTTTTAAAGGCCCCACACTTCAGCGAATGTGTGTACGTGTATGTGTGTCCACACCTCTGCCTAAGTTTTTGAATCACAAAGAACGCTACTAGGGCCCCTGGCTTTGCTACTAAGGGCTCCTGGCATCGCTACTAACATAGTTTCTCAGCGCGGAAAAAGAGGTAGGGGGACACAGCATTTCACTGGGACTGTGTCCAACGAAGCTACCAGTGAAATGGGATATCCAGCTTGGCCAGCTGGACATACCTGCAATTTTACCCTTTTTGTGGAACTGTTGAACAAGCTGTCTCCTACGGTGTTGTGCAGTAAAGGTCTACTGAGCTGAAGACAACTTGTTACAACACCTTCAAATGAACGGACTTTTCACCTTGCGGCTTGCGCTTCTTTCCGCTTCGTCAAGTCAAGGGGGACTTCGTACTGACACTAGCTCTTGCGGGCAACAATCTAAGTGTGTTTTCGCCACAGGGCCCCACTGAATCACAAAGAACGCTACTAGGGCCCCTGGTTTTGCTACTAAGGGCTCCTGGCATCGCTACTAACATAATTTCTCAGCGCGGAAAAAAGAGGCAGGGGGACACAGCATTTCACTGGGACTGTGTCCAACGAAGCTACCAGTGAAATGGGATATCCAGCTTGGCCAGCTGGACGTACCTGCAATTTTAACTTTTGTGGAACTGTTGAACAAGCTGTCTCCTACGGTGTTGTGCAGTAAAGGTCTACTGAGCTGAAGACAACTTGTTACAACACCTTCAAATGAACGGACTTTTCACCTTGCGGTTTGCGCTTCTTTCCGTTTCGTCAAGTCAAGGGGGACTTCGTACTGATACTAGCTCTTGCAAGCAACAGTCTATATAAGTGTGTGTGTGTGTGTGTTGCGTGTGGCGTGCGGGACCCTTTTATATTCTACATACTTTCAACTCCACCCCGCCACCCCAACAAAAGCTCATTCATACAAGAAGCCGTTGCAGGTGCATTGACGGCAAGGTTGCTAACAGCCACATCGCAGCCTCAGTGCGTGGAATGCATCACAGCCACGTTCGTGGCGGTAGCTGGGATCCTCCCACCTGCCACTCAAGCCCACGTCCACACGCACTGATGGCAGCAGACACACTGACCGCATCGGGCTGCAAGGCCTGCATGACCAGTCTAGGCCAAAGAAACAACTTCTAAGCAACTCCGTCAAGCAAGAGAGTCCGCAACACAAGATCAAAAAACTACAGTATCAAAGTTTGGCATCCTTGTCAGGAAGGATCCTGCAGAGGGATTGTTCGGGAATGCCTGGAGGTCCATCTCATTCAGCAGAAAAAGCGCCAGCTCCCAATGCCCACTCCGCTCGCAGGCAGAGATGGTAGCATTGAAACAAATTGTGTTTGGCCACAACCGCTGCTTTGGCCTTGTCAGCAAACAAAGCTTCCAACAACATCACCAGAGTCACAATCGCACAAAGGGAAGCAATATTCTAAGAAGCTGTTGCTCGCACCCGTCCAAGTCACATGCTCACAAGGAGCAAGAGCGCCTCTTGCCAGGAAGCAGCCTTGAAACAGAGCTCAAACGGCATGGAACATAATATTCTAGCAACATAATATTCTAGCAACAATAGCATCTTTTCTGACCACCTGCCTTGGCGCAGGCACTCACAGCCGCCCCGCAGGCCACAACATCCACAACTGGCATTTTTGCAAATAACTCCTAGAAGTGCAGGCAGGGCAATCTGCAACAGCAAGCCGCGGCTGAAAGACGGAGTGACAGGCGGCAAGTGTATGCATACATGATGCAAAACTGGTATGTCCGTGACTTGAGTCTAGATGGGCTCCTTTTCAAACCTGTTTAAGTGCTATGTATTGCTAACGGATGGCCCGGTCGGTCTACGCTTCCGGTTGTCTCCAGCATCAGCTGCCAGCGGCCTGAAGGCTCGCACGCCGCAAGGGCCGCGGTGTGAGAGACGACATCCTCAAAGCGGCGCGTGCCGACGGTGGGCCGATGGGCCCGACGGGACTCGGGGACTCGAGACCGATGAATGGTGATTGCCAGGGGCGGTGGCCCTGTGGCTTTAAGCTGCCCTTCGGTCGGCCCACAACAACCCCTGATGCGCCTGGCAGAGCTCTTGCAGCTGCATCCTGGACGCTATACAAACGTGTCGCTTTGCAAGCATGGTCTTTGTTTATGCCATGGAGGTTGCGGTTTCCATTCAAAGCCTGAAAAAGGCTGCATATGTCAGCTCCAGCTGCAATCGCTAAACCCTCGATTCATATTTGGAAAGGGGGAAAGCAGTTCCTTGCAAACCGGACTGGCTATTCAAGTCACAGTAATTACCCAAAACGCTGTTTCGCAAGCAGTAGTGAGACCGAGGACAACGGCATTGACCGCAGCAATGGATTACCAGTTGGAAGTTGCACGCTTGTTGCTCGAAGGCTTGCAGTTTGCAGCCGTTTCTTTCCACTGTGTTGCTGGCTCGAGCTGGTGAGAATTCAGCATGCGGTTTTTGGATGTGGAAGTAAGATGAAGTAAGCACGTGGAAGCTGTCCACTGACTCCTGGAAGCTGGGGCTCAGAAGCTGCAGCGAGAAGAATGGGGCAATGACCTTGCGGGCGTGTAGCTGAGTGTCCAAGCAGCAGAAACCTCATGCAGCTCTGCGACGGTTCACTAGACCCAGGGTCCACTGTCGCACGCGCAATCGTGACTAAGATTGAAAAAGGATCAAGGTGATAGAATTGATAGAAACAGAGAGTGCAAAGAAGCTAAAGCTATGGAATTGAGTCCTATGAAGCACACATGCTTTTACAACACCCAGGCCCTGGCTGGCACAGGTGTCAATTTGTCAAACAAGTGGAGGGTGCCACGCTCCAGAAACAGCAATAGATGGCGAGGATGCGCAAGCACACTGCTGGAGGTCCGCAAGGCATAACCACAGGCACGCAATTCTACAACCCTAAGGGAAGATCCAACAGTTGGGCCTAAACAAACCTAATAAATCCGAAAAGGGCATGATGATGGCTCTTGGGCTATATAGGCACGAAGACACCTTCGTTGGTCATAAAAGAAATGCAAAAGATCAAAAAAGTGCGAAGCACAAAAAACTCAAAGCAGCTTCCAATCGTCACATGCTTCCTTTGCCCGTGGACAGTTTCGCCCAATGAATCCTGACTGCTTAATGCTGGATGAGCTTGGGACCGTAACAGTCCTGTTATTGATACCATATTGTGCTTGCACATGATCGAAAGGACAAATATAAGTTATATATATATATATATAAGCTGCATCCCTTGATGTGATTGGAGGAGGGGCGTCATTGCACTTCAAGGAGGTTGTGCCATCTTATCTGAAGATCTGCAAGATTGACAAGCTTTCCCCAGACTGGAGACGCAGCAGCGGCACCTGCTAAAGATCCCAACTGCAGCTTGCCAGGCAGTTGATCTTCCAGCCGCAGTCAAGGCTGCGCTGTTCGTGATCTGATTGCTCTGAAGCATCCAAACCTCAATAAACTGAAACAAATCGGCCTTTGGAGTGACAGTTGAAGTTATTCTGATTTAGAATTGGGTTTTCAATTGCAACACTGTCAGAGAACTTAGACGAAGACTTGCTGCTCCAACGCAGCCTTTGCCCAGATTCAGCTCAGCAACATGCAGGTCGCAAAGCAAGGTGAGGCCAACTTCCCATAGTCGACGGGTCTGTGCTACTGCTCGAATAGCAGCCGTAAAGGAAGCACTGCCTGGACAATGCAAACATCAAAAACGTCGACAAACTTGAACAGAATTCACTCTCCAAGCCGCTGGGTCCAAGGCCCACAGCACCAAGCCTCAAGCTAGCCAAAGCATCGCCGACTGAACGTTGTCACATTGACTCAGTTCACACAAATTCACATCATCACGCTTTCGCAGCTAGACAGGTCACGTGGTCAGGAGCGAGAGCGCAGCTCCCCAGTCGCTGCTCTCCTTGCAGCTGGAGAGCGCCTTGCAACGATCGCAGGTAGGAAAAAAATCCCAAAATTGCCAGCGACCGATGATGAATTTGAAGGCAAGAAACGCTGTTGTAGTGAAAAAGCGTCGGCTGCACCGCATCTTTTTGAACATGTCGAAGCCTGAGATAAACGTTGGCCACGCAAACTGGAATGCCACGGCGCTCCTCTCTAACTCTCTAACGTTGGCCACGCAGCGTGGCAAACGGCCGCGCTGGACTGATCATCTGCGGGCGCTGGACTGATCATGAGGCAAAATGGCGGTCAAACCCTTTGTGACGCTTATGACATTCCAGCCATCGGCCTAGGCAGAGAAGACACGAAGAATCTTTGAATCCTGCAAATTGTAAGTTGAAGGCTTGAGCATGTGGTTGATGTTCCATACCATCATGGTAGGTGATTTCGCTTCGATAGGTAGATACGTCTGCTAAACCAACATGGAAACTGCCAAAGGTGGTCTGTCAGTTGCGTGCTAGGGTTTGGGGAGGTGCATGTCTGAGTCTCAGTCGCACTAAGCTGGCTCCATTGATAAGTTGCAGTGATATGCAATTCTTTGAGCCAAAAATGCTGACATTGGATGAGCCCTATGCCAATGCATTCTCAAATTCTGTCCAGTTCTTCCACTTGTCTCATCTGTCAGGCGCCCAGCGAGGTACGGTACTCCGACTCGCCGAAGCCACGGAAGATCGCTGACTGGGCCCACAGATTCCGGTTCCGCTCCGGTTCCGCTCCGGTTCCGCTGCGGTTCCGGCGGTCCATCTGAATTTGTTAAATTGGGATGTGGGAGTGAAAAATATCTATATATCCATAGAAGGTCGGAGTTGAAGTAAGCAGGAATACTGGCTCACAAGGTTTTAATTCTTTTGGAACACCATGATACACGTCTTGCTGGCATGCGTTCCATATGGTGACCTAAATATCCTCCCTTGTTTACCTCAACTGTAGGGCCCACGGCATAGGGTGTGACATAGTTAGGACTGTTTGTCTCGCGACCAGGACGGAAAAGCACCACTCTGGTTGCCCAAAACGATGGCCTGGGCCTAGACTGAGAAACACTCAGCTGGATTGAAATAACATTGAATTGGAAGGATTCCTCTTGAACCCTTGTCCAAACTCACTTTCTTTCAAAAAGAAATCTTTGGCAATATCAGCTCTGAGCCCATGGCATAGGGTGTCTCCAGTTCATATTGCGCCTGTCTCGTGACTGAACCGAGTAGGTGACGAAAGCTAGCAGGGATGCATCCGTGTCAGTGGAGGCGAAGCATACAGCGCCGTCCAGTGACAAAGGATTGGTGGGACATCAAGCGGAGTGAGGCAAATCTTTTTTCATAGGCATGGGGCTGTTGGAGGTATGGTTCACAAGGTCTCGCTCATGAGGTAAAACGTTGTGAACATGTAAGACACACGAACAGCAATGACACAGCTAACCTTAGCTTGTGAATCTTTTGAATCTGTTGCATCGTATCCCAAAACCTCCACGGAGGAGTTGAACCAAAGTGGTGGATGCCATAAGAGGTGTCCAAGAGGTGTCCCAGAGGCGTCCCAGGGCGAGTTGAACCCGCGGGGGGGGGGGGGGGCACCTGCCCGGGGCCCCCTCTACATATGAAGTTTTCACGTGATGCGGCGATCTCAAGGATTCCAGCCCCTCACTTGCTAAAGCAAGGACAACTCCAGCTAGCTGCTGCTAGCTTTCGTGACAAGATTTCTCGACCAAATTCATCAAAATTCTACACCCTCATACTCGCACACAAAGGCAAAAGACAGGGAACCGTTCGTGCAATCACACCGCCACAATGCCAGATTAATTCATATAGATAGATATGTGAGCCATGTGTATCAGCAATGCCTTACCCATGTGTGGAACGAGCTGTGCCCCCGAAGCGCCGACTCACCTTTCGAGGCCGACTGTGGAAGTCTGAGAGCAACGTCCGTTCTTTGAGCGTGAGCCTCAAGTGATGGTGAAAACTCTACAGTAAGTCAGGACTCAGGATCTAAAGGATTTCAAGAGCTTATCTGGCAAAGCTACTCGTTTGCAGCTGCAGAAAAATTCTCGATCCGCAACAACGAAAAAATAGTTTGAAGATTAGGTGTTCCGGCGTGCTGCGAAAGGATGGGGCGGTCTGTGCGCGCTTCAAGTATTTGAACTCCTGGGACAGGGCTTAAGCCATGCGCCTCCACGGCCGAAGAAGCAACTCAACGCAAACCGATTCTCATCCCACACGACCTACGCAGACCGGGGCGTCCTTCGGGTTCAGTCGAGCGGTCCTTCGGAGGTCCTGAACAGCGTCTCGTCTTCAACTTCGCCCCGGAAGGAACAGCATCGCCAACAGCGGAAGAAAACATGCTCCTCACCGGCCCTCAGCTTCGCCAGATGCTCTTCCAGGCATCTCTCCTGCCGATTCTGGACTGGCCATTTCGACCGCGGAATCCATTCACATTTCCGGAAGCAAGGCCCCTAAGCCCCCCAAAGGTCCCAAACTAAGCACAACACGCCATATAAGCTGCTCGGCAATACGTACGCCGCTGCAAAGCGAAGTAACTAGAACTCTTCTGATTTCGAGTTTGGACATTCTCCTCCTTCAAAATGCTCTCTTGCAAGGCAAAGGGATCAGGAGCGCCTGCACACAGGTACACACAGGTCCCCAGCCTTGCAACTCAACAGCCCATGTTGACAAACACCAACGTACCTGCCCGCATGAAAAGGCCGTGAAGGTGGCACCCTCGTGGCACCGTTGGAGCTAGTGCATTGGCGGGCGCGGGTGTCTGCCAATGTTGCTCGACCCCTGATGCTTTCAATGTTTGAGCGTCCACCATGTGTCTGCCGCATAATCCTTCAAACTTTCCTGCATGATGTGAGCAATTAGTTGGACTCTGATAAGTTAGAAGAGTGTGGTCCTAGCGGGCGTCGCTGTAACAACAAAGAGGAGGGTGAAGGATCAAAAGAGAAATTGATAGGGATCAAAAAAAAGAATTGTTTGAGGAGATCATTTTAAAAATAATTGAGATCAAAAAACAGTAGTAGTGGTGGTAGTAGTAGTAGTAGTAGTCCTAGTCGTAGTCGTAGTCGTAGTAGTAGTAGCAGTCGTCGTAGTAGTAGTAGTAGCAGTAGTAGTAGTAGTAGTAGTCGTAGTAGTAGGAGGAGTAGTAGTAGTAGTAGTGGTGGTGGTGGTGGTGGTGGTGGTAGAAGTAGAAGTAGAAGTACGGGTAGAAGTCGAAGTAGAAGTAGAAGTAGAAGTCAAAAATTGTACCTTCCAAACATAATTCAATATCAATCTGGAGCGGTCACAGGATATGGAACGACGAAAGAGACGAAGGGACCAGGGGACCGAGAGACTAGGACCAGCAAACCAGTAAAGCTCAAGGGACTAGGACATTCAGGAAGCAACAGAGGGAGCAAGAGGTCAAAGGGACCAAGGGATCAGGGGTTTAAGGTTTCTTTAGGCTTTGCTCACGGCTTCGCTTTTGGGTTTTCTTCTTTAGGGTTCTATTTTGGGCCTGGTTGAGGGCTTCGTTTCTTTAGGGTTTCTTTGTGCTTGGCTTGAGGCTTCACTTCTTTAGGGTTTCTTTTGGGCTTGGCTTTGAACTTCGTTTCTTTGGGGGTTCTTTGGGCTTGGCTTAGAGCTTCGTTTCTTTAGGGTTTCTTTAGGCTTGGCTTAGGGCATCGGTTCTTTAGGGTTTCTTTGGACTTTAAGCTTCGCTTGGGCCTTCGCTTCTTTAACGTTTCTTTGGGCTTGACTTGGAGCTTTCTTGGAGGATTAAGGAAGCGGGAAGGGGTTCGGGGGAGGGCGCAGCGCCTCCCCCGTAACGCAAACAAGTATGGACAGCATGTTTCAAAAGCAGCGGCGGCAGCAGAAGGATAAAGGGATGCAGCAGGAGAACCAAAGGACCAGAGGACCCAGGGACCAGGGGACCAGAGGACCACAGGACTAGAGGATCAGAGGACCAGAGGACCAAAGGACCAGAGGACCAAGGGACCAGGGGACCAAGGGACCAGAGGACCAAAGGACCAGCGGGCAAAGGACTGGAGGACCAAGGGACCAGGGGACCAGAGGACCAAAGGACCAACGGACCAAGGGACCAGAGGACCAAGGGTCCAGAGAGAGGATGAAAGGACTAGAGGACCGGTTACCAAACAATTTTTTTTGATGTTTTTTGTTTTTTCTTGATGCCTATCAAATTTTTTATTGATGCCTATTAATTTTTTGATACCTCTCCCAAAGAGGAGGGCTTTGCAAGCTTCCCTGTCGAAGATATTGGGTGCGTTCATCCCCTTCAAATACTTCCGGGAACCAAATGCAGAGAGCAAAGATCACTCTTGCTGCTCGTGCATATTGACATGTTGCGAGGGCGATGGATGCCCATTGCTGATCGCAAACTTGTCAAAGAGACACACAGTCAACACAGTGTGGCTTGACTCCTGTTTTGATGGCAAGCAGATTGGCTCGAAGCACACTTTGTGTGCTTTGTCCATCTGTATCTTGCTTAGGGCTCCCGCAGGGTGCCAGAAGGGGCCTCTGCAGTGAGTGAATTAAATAAAACTCGGGAAGTGTGAAACTATGAGGCATCCCTGTCACTAATGCGATGGGGCCATGAAGGCACATAACCGCCTGACATCCAGCCATGGGCGGCTGACCAAATTTAGAGCTACAAGCCTGGCTCAAAGCGGTCCGAACATCTTGTCCTTCTCCTGCGGTGCCATTCAAAATCTTATTTTTTTTGTTCAGGAGGACTATTGCAAAGCTCCTGCTGGATGAACTGAAAAATCGAAGTGGCCGTTTCAGCGCGTTCCTCAGAAGAAGTCTTCATGATGCAACCACTTAACGGCATCTAGTTCGTTGAGTGCCCTTTTCGAGCAACCTTGCGTCAGTGGTCCTAGGGTCCTAGTGGGCCAAGGCTCAAGATTTCGATCAGGATGCCATTTGACAAGTAGCCTTTTGACGGCTGCTTTCTGGTTGGCTTTGCTCTCATACTTTAAGGAAGCCAACTGTGCACGGACAGACTCCTGCCAAAAGCGCAAGGACCGCCCCGAGCCCTGTCGCGACTTCTTCACACCGCGAACTCCAGGTGAAACAAGAACAGCTTCACCTAGAAAATGAGTTCTAACTATATAAATTGACTAAATACTGATTTTTAATGCCAAAGCCCAGGAATCGTTTACTGCAACTGATCTCGGCCACAAATAACTCCTGCAAAGACTGCTGAGGGTCAACGAGTGGCTGTGGCCGCAAACTGTGCCAACCTGGTCAGATCGCTCAGTCAGTTTTTAAATGGCAAAGGAAGCCTGAGCTGAGCTGTCAAAGCACAGAGCAACCAGAAGCCTTGGCCTCCGAAGGAAAAGCCTTCCTTTGCGGCTCGCGGGCACGGTGGCGTAAAGCCTGACAGATCTTGAGACACTCTGTCGGATGCGCATTTTCTCTGAAAGGCTTTCGGGGCCTCGGCTGCTCTGTTTCTCAGGGGCTTTGGCTGCTTTGGTGGCCACTTTGGGGCGCCTCGGGGTCTCATCGACGTATTTCCTCAGGGTTTAAAGGTCACACAACTGTCAAATCACCACCATAGGTGAAAGCAAATGCCAGATTCATTCCGTCGATAATTATTAATTGTAGATTCCTTCACTACAGATCTATATTCCTTGTCTGTCCTGCTGACATTGCTAGGGGCTGCAAAGGTCTGAGGCCTTCCACCAAGCATGTCAAATTGACAAGTGCAAAGGAGACTCGGGGACACTCCAATAGACGGCGTTGAGCCTAATTTGTCAAGAAAAGGAAGCGGGTTTCACTCTAGAACGTTCACTTTGTTCGCTTAATTCTTTAGCTTCGACGGCCTTTCTGCGAACATCCGGGATGCCACCGCGCTGGTGGCTGCACGGCCGCGCTGGCGCTCTCGTCGGGCAGCCTGCACTGAATGAAGAAAAGGAAAAAAGGTTGCCCTAGCATTCAAGCTCCAAAGAACGCGATTAAATCTCCAAACGTCTAAACGTAGGACATTCCAAGATTTCAAACACCAGCTTGCTAGTGCAAGGGTGAGGGATCAAAAAAATAATAATAAAAGAATCAACAAAAAAATATTCAACGGGGATCAATAAAAAAAAATAAAAGGGAATCAAAAAAAATATTTTCTAGCCCACTGCCCCTCCTAGTAGGGAGCTATTTCTACTGGTGAACCATTTTTCGAGTAGGGCTACTCAATGACTGGACGGCAACCTTATCGTTGGGTACCTACTTTCTTCCCAGGGAGCTGCCTCTAGTAGAAAGCAATCAAGCCTCTATTTGCGCAAGCAGGGGACCAGGAGATCGACAGACGAGCGCCGTAGGAGAGCAAAAGACCAGCGGACCAGGAGACAAAAGGACTAGGATACCAGGGGACCAGCGGACCACAGGACCAGAGGACCAGGAGACCGGAGGACTAGGGGACCAGTGGACTGAAGGACCAAGGGACCAGGGGACCAAAGGACCAGTGGACCAGAGGACCAAGGGACCAAAGGACCAAGGGACCACATTACCAGAGGACCCGCAGACCCGCAAACCACAAGGCCAAGAGAGCAGCAGAAGAGGCCTATCAAGGAATATCTATTTTTTGATTCGTTTTTTTTGATCCTGTTTTTATTTTTTGTTGATGTTTTTTTATTTTTTTGGTACCTATGCCCTAGTGCAACACGGCTCAGAAAAGATCTTCTTTGCTCGCACACACAAAGAAGAAACCACTTGCGCATCCCGAGTGCCAAAGCCATCCACAACATGGGTGTGTGTGTTGTGCGCTTCGTAAAAAGTCATGTGAACAAGTCAAGCTAGTAACACAAACCCAAAGCAGCTAACATCCAACCTGGTGCAAAAACAAATAGGAAATGCCCCAGAAAGATGCCAACCATAAAATACAGAGGTGCAATAACAAACGTAGCTTGAGAAAATCGAAAAGTTTGGGCAAATAAGCAAGCACAGACCCCAAGTAAATTGGTATGGGCAGCGCCATGCAGCTGCACCACCTACCAGCCACCACAAGCACACAGCGCTTTGTTTCCGTGATCTGGCAGCCACACCCTGCAGCAGCCCCTGGAGCTCTTAAGCGCCACAGTGCCACATACATCCGGCAGCGGCACCATGCAGTGGCACCAGTACAGTCCCCAAAGCGCACACGGGACACCCCTTCCTAGATTTGTGGAAAAAAACCGCAATGCATCAGCACCAAAGCTCCAAACAGCACGTGCACAAACATCTTTGGAGCGGCACTCTGCACTAGCACCCGCAAGTGGCACCCACTGCCATAAAAATCTGGCAGCAACACCCTGGAGAGACACCAGCTTGCAGGTTCCAAAGCGCACACCGCCATCCACATCTGGCAGCGGCACCCCTGCAAAAACACCAGCACCCAGGCTCCAAAACGCACTCAACCAACTCTTCTTATACTTGAAGTAAGAACCCCAATAGTTTTCCCTACCTGGCAATAAATAGGTTTTCCATCCAAAAACGTTGACCTCCCTGGCATAATCTGCCTGCATGCGCTCGGAGATGCGTGAAATGTCAGCTTGAACTTCTTCCAGGCACCGGGAGAGATTTGCGTTTCGCGTGTGCACCTGCAAGCAAACCGATGCGTGTTGCAAAACGAATGGTTGCACTCTATCTACCTACACTTGCACACAGATGGATTCATGCATTTATATACACATCCTCCCAATTCTTCCCGCCATGCAAGAGTGTGCGGTCCTATGATTAGGCGTGTGAAGGCTTCATCAACAGCTTTGATCTCACCACTCTACACTCGGCCGCCTCTTTCGCTGCTTCATCGATGTAAGCCAAACCCCGATTCACCTGCCTGTTCAAAACAGGTTGGCATTATACAAAACAAAACTTACAAAAGCAGCACGTGGCCTGCGCAGTGTAGCCTCATCGAAGCCAACCCGTTCTCGGGTCTCAGAAGGCCTCGAAGACATCGCAGATGCCCTCACAAAGCGGTCATAGCTGCTAGAGTTGTGCTTGCAACTCAATTGCCCTGTCACTAAAACACGGGACTTCATCCAAGCCATGCGTTTCTGCCGCCTGCAAAAGAAATCGTTCAGAAGTTCCTCCAGCTCGTCAACGTCACTGCTGTCGTCTCCATATCCATCCACTCCTGTCACGCATTTCCTCGACCGCCACACGCCAACAAAGCCGAACACATCAACACAGCTGCAGCTGCAACCTTCTGGAGTCTTCGGCAGTTGTGTTGAAGATGTTGGAAATCCTGTGTTTGTCGCTGTTTGGCGGCCAAAATCTACAAAAACTCTCACAAACAATCTTCAGAAATCCATAGCATTGTGCCTGTGCGAGGCTCGGCCGCACGGAACGCTGCTAAAGTTGCAGGATAAAATGTTTTTTGACCAGCTGCAGCCAATAGATCGTTCAGAACACCTGAGCGCTCATAGCCTTGGTCGGACCAAGTTGACACCAAAACATGTCATGAAATATGTGAAATAATATATATATATGTATACTGTATGTGTGTGGTGTTCCAACCTAATTAATGATGGCCTTCAACGTAATAGCGATGGAATTTCACATGTGTGTGATTGTGCATATTTGGATTATTTGATTCTGTGTGTGTGTGCAAGACTTCGGCACTGAGGCGAAAGCGCAGCAAGTCAGGAACGCCTGACACACCAATCTGCTCCAGTTTCCTCTGCACCGCGTGCAAATCACGGGCGCCCCAGGATTTGTTGCACCCGGCCAAGAATGCGTCCTGCAAACAGAACCCGTTTCAACTTCAATCTTCATTGAACTTTACATCAGTAATTTCCCTGCAGCGGGCCGCCCCTTCTGTCCAGAGTAAGGAAGTTGGGATGTGCAGCGGCTCGAAGACCATCGGCCATGGTGTCACATAATGATTGACAATTTTTCGAACAACTGATTACAGTGACTATGGCTTCAATCAATGAAACATGTTGCAGTTGCAACATCACTTCAACCACCTGCAAGTTTGTTCCACAGCCACAGGTGCGTTCTCCGATGTATGTGGACCATGTTGTGCTTCATGCAAGTCATTTGCATGCAAGTGGAAACCGGAAAACAAGGCTGCAAAGACCCACGAAAACAAGGGCCAAAGAAACTCCACTAATTTTGGGGTGACCCGTGGCCACTTAAAATGGTTGGCATTGCAAGTCTGCTCGTGTTCACCCTGTGTGAGAATGTATTATAAGGTTTTTGGTTTTCGGCAACCATACCATCAGTTGAATTCCCTTGGCAAGTCCCCAGGCTTTTGGCCAAAGCCTCTATATACAATCTACTTCGCGCGCCCGTCTGAGAGTCAATCAGGGCTCGAGAGGCGTCCCAGTGAGGGGCCCGCCAGCCGTGAGCTGCAATGCAAATGGGCGACCGACGGGTCGGCCGGGGCGTGGAGCGCAAATTTGGGAGGGAAGCAAACGACCGACATGGTGCATGCGGGCGGAGAGGAGGGTCAGGTGTCGGCCCAGGACCCCCAGCTGCGGAGTCGGAGGCCGCCAAGGCGGAGCGGCAACTGAGCAGGGTCGCGGGAGGTCGTCTACTGAGAGCAAGGTGGAGTGACTAGTAGTTTTCGAATGTTCTCGGCTCGGGGGAAGTGCATGTATGCATATCTTGGCGACGTGCATGTCACTCCCCCAAGCTCTACAACCTGCTGGCTGACCACCTTGCGCAGCACGCCATCCAACTCAACGCTGCCAAAACGCAAGTCTGGAACTACCGTCGTGGCGTTGAGCCGCCCCACGTCCGCGGCCTCCAACCAGACCAGGCCGCGCCGCCCATTTAGCTGGGAGACCCCACACTCCTGCCCGCTTCGAAGGGCGGCAGGTGGTGGGCCTGCCGATCGGCACCCCCTACATCTGGGTGCTCACGCTCGTTGGGGTGGAAATAGAATTCGCGAAGGCGCGGAGCCCCCGCAAAGCCAGGGAAGAGGCCTGGCATCAAGGGACAACCCCCTGCTCACCTCATTCGCCCTTGGCGCACGCTTGCGCAACGCCCTCGGCATCAGTCCAGCTGTAGCCCGCAGGCCTAAAAGACTCAGCGGGCAATTCTTGCAAGGCAGTGAGCATGGCAGGGCGGCTGACCTGGTCGTACGTACGCACCGTACGCTCAAGATGGTGGCCGCCGGGTCACCTTCAGTGACGGTGCGGAGGCATCGGGTGAGCGCCTCACCCCGGGCCCACACGTTGAGCGCATACTGACGCGGACGACATGCGGCATGCAGGGCTGGCCCATGGAGCTGGGCCAGGGCTCGAGGCCGCGCACACCCCCCGAGGATTGAAAAAAAAATCGTTGTGTGAACATCGGGACACACGCACACGCACACACACACACACACATGGATGACAAGGCCACGCCACAAAGTTGACCCTGGAAGTTTCCAAGGCAAGCGCCCCAAAGATTCAAGCAAGTGCAACTACCTGCAACATGATTACGTTATCTCACAAACGCGAAGTACAACCTCCTCAGCTTCCAGTTTTCCCTTACAGAGCCCCAGAAACCAGAATCTGTGCCACAAGCTGAACCTATGTGCTCCTGGTCCTCACATTCATTTCCTCACTGGCACGATGGCAACAACGCCTCGACCCGACATGGGAGTGAGGGTCCAAATCTCATCCTCAAAGTGCGACAGCTGGCTTCTGGCTTCTCCCCCCCTTCTCCCGTCTCAAGTCCTTCAATTTGGAACACATCTGGGTGCGAACCAATGTCCACGGGGGACGCTATGATACTGCATGCAGCTCACAGGGAACGCCAAGTCTTCGGGAGAAAGCCAACGCAAACATTCCAACACCAACTTGTTGAACTCGTCATGTCCCATGTCACCTTTCAAACCCTTGGCCCGCAGAAGCCTGAGGTAGACCACCCCCGCCTTACAAAAGGTCGAACAAAACGATGCGGGGCCCCTGGGGGTGTGGCCAAAACACAGGAGCTTGGAAAGGAGCATGGCTGCGGGGGCCTGTGTGCAATGTCTGCACAAACCAATAGCCGAGTGTAAGTGCGGCGAGAATGTTCAAAAAAAACACAAAAACATGTCACGAAGCCGTGAAGACAAATCGTTTGACAAGAATAAACGCCGACATCTCCAAAAACGCCTCTGGAAGCAGAACACCCGTGGGATCAAACGCGTGTATACCCGCAAGGGGCACCAAACAAACAGGAAACCGCAAGTTCATCCGCACAAGCCACTGGCATAAAAAACACGAAAAGCCTACCCCAGCATAGTGAATGAAATGTAGGTAACCTGACCAGGTCTGAAAAAAGGTGAGAACTTGAGAATGAGAGCGCACACGCGTCGCAAGCCGAATCATCACATGAATCCCAAGGACGGTTTTTGTGCGCGCAAGGTTTCGCCAAAAAACTAGATTCATTTTGGGCAACTGCTCTACATACAGCCAAGTCCCCCACACTCCGGATTGCTAGACAATACCTAGGTCCTATTTATAAAAAAACACCCTTTCAGTTGTCAAACGCCGCAAAAAATAAAAAGGTCATCATTGACCTTCCTTGCGCCGGATGCGCGAAAGTAATCAGTGCACCACCTTGCTTTGGGTTTACGAGGGCCGGACCGTCATGTGATTCAATGGCTGTGGCGCCAACCATTGAAAACAGTGCGGCTCAAACCTGCATTGTGCACACGCAAAAACGAATGGGTTGCCTAGGGCCCTCGGGCCAGTTGACGGTTGTCTTAAATATACCGAAACTAAGGGCTGAAGCCGCCTTGAGTCGTCAAACGTTCGTGTCGTGGGGACTGGCCATTGTCGGGAGATGCTGTGACCCCTTTGAACCATGATGGCACACATGGCACACACCCCACAAACAACAGCAACACCAGGCCTGATGCGGTAGCATTTATCAGATGACGACGCCGCCCAAAATTGGAAACTGAGAAAGCCGCAACCACACGGTCGCGACACCGCCGTGAGCTCCGACAGCAGCCAACATCAAGTCCTATGTTTGTGTCTGTGCAACCACTGGCTGGTTGCCAGCAGCGGGATGTTCCACAAGGCATTTTTTCACTGAGCCCAAGCACTTTGTCAACACCGCGTTTGTTACAAGAGTTTTTGGGCGTGTTTGGTTGGCAAACACATATGCCGTCATTTCGCGCGGTTGTTGCACATGGTTTTTGAAATTGGTTTGGGCAAATGATCGGGCATCCGGGCTGGAACAACGAGGAGGCGGGCAACACTGAACAACAACCGCAGCTGCCGTGCTGTTTGTTAATGACTACCCGGTTTGGATTCAAAAACTGTACAGCACATTCTCGCCAAACGATTTTGTTGTTTTACCTGAGTAAGTCTCAGTTTAAACTTGCCAACCAACAGGCTCGGCGGTGCGGAAGGGATGGATCGTTATTGGAGTTTGGAAATCTGCCTTTTCAACGTGACCAGCCATGATCCTTGTATGCACTCAATCTTGGTGTGTACTGTCCCCCTGCTACCGCGTTATGTTCAAAATGAGCAGCACTGACACTTCACCAGTGTAGAACTAATTTCATCCATTTTCGAGTGGTGGCAAGAATGACTTGCCAACATGTTTCACAAATCGTGGCAAGACCGGAAAGTCCTGCATGTGGCAAGGGGCGTTGGGGTAGGAGGAGTAAACACAAATTTTTTCCACCAAGTACAAAGTCTGTGACAAGTCACAAAACTTTGACGAGAGTTAGTGCGGGCCCCCAGCATGAACTGGATGGGTTTGCCGGCCTCAGTCCAGCTCGGCCCGGGCCCGAAAAAGGGGAGGGACGCATTGCCAAAACAACCATCGTGTTTCGCAAACCTGGTCCATCCACTTGTGACCATGATGCCACAACCATCCAAACTCCCAAAAAAACACAAGAACTAAAGCAAGGAAACTGTTCATGGCCAGGGTACACTGCAACAAAAACCAATGAATCAATGGATACTGCTCGGCTGAAGGAACAAATGCATGCAAACAACAACATGAACGCGTCTGGTTTGTGATTGTGCGCACTCTAGTTCGTAAGAGTGTGCGGGTGGCTAAAGTTCCAGTTTCAGCTTCAAGAAGCGGGGCGGAAGGAGGGAAATCCAGTTCTAGTTGCAAGCAGCTGTGTGGTTGGACGTGGGGGGTGCAGACCCAGTTCCGGATTCAATTCCCAATCAAAAACTCCTCGCAACACGTCGGCAGATCCAATACCAACTCCGTTCCCATGGCGGTGCATCAAACATTTACACAATATTCCCCAAACAGTGTGGTGACACTACGGTTTCTTGCGGTAAGACTTATGGCCGAGTGTCTGTCGGAGGTGCTCATCGAGGTGTGCCACTTATTCACTGCTATTTACATTACATTCATTCACCTCGAGGTCTTCCAAATGCATCTCGACTGCGCAACCTCTTAGGATCTGCTGTGCCTGAGCGGGTGCTCTTCGAGACTGTGCTCTTGTGGTGGCGCCGTGCACATTTTCGGACTTGGCGATCACTTGTCGTAGCGGGCACCTCGCGCTGTTGTGGTCTAAAGCCAACTTTTAGTGACAGGTGCAGGAGTCGGAGCGGTTTTATGTCGATGCGGCAGGTGCAACACTAAGTGCAATGAATCGCGCCTTTTGGACACGTCAACAATCGGGGGCAGCTGCGGCATTGGTATCTTGATGTTGTCTTTGGAAGCACTCTTGCTGGCAAAGCTGCACGATGCGCAGATTTCGTGGCAGGCGCATCCATTTCTGAACCTGCATGCGCGGCAAATTTCGTGGCAGGCCAGGCTCTTTGTGGACCTTGAATTGCAAATTGAGTTTCGTAGCACGCGCTCTGCTTTTTGGACCTTGAAGCGCAACTCTCATGGCCGGCGCAACACACCCTGAAACGCAGATCCGGGGCACGCGCAGCCGCAGCACCGTGTGAAGTTTGAAGTGTAATTTTCGCGGCAACCGTACTTTGTGGACCTTG